AAACAAATTTCAATGATTGAAATCAACTGCCGGCAGTTTAGGTTTCCATCAGAGAGAGTGCATCCCCGATCATTACCTTTGTCCGACAAAGGGGTTGATCCTGTCATTCTGATCACCCACTTAGATGAATTCTCGGACTATCCCAACATACACACGTTTTGATCCCCTCTAAGGATCTCACTGATTGGCATATCAAAGACAGCCCAATCTGACACCTAGTGCAGTATCCTAATCGAGTATAGGGGTCAAGTGTAGCATTCCAGTTCTGCCCACTAATCACCAAGGTCCAGGGCAATACTGGAATTCTGGTCCGGTTCAGAGTTTCAAGTAAACCTACACGGCATGTACCTCGGGTCTCACCCTAGTAGCTGAGACAGGCTACCCCAACCAGCTTGGCGACACATCAGTGTTAGCCTTAGCAAGATAAATCTCCCCAGATATATCCAACGACTGTGAACATTCTAAACTAACACGAGTCTCATATGTATCCAGTTTAAGGGTATTACAAAGAAACACACCACAATAACATGAATCAAATATGTACTTTATTCATTTACATTAAATGTCATAATGTACATCATTCTGATTGGAGCTAAGGGCATAGGGTGCATGGAGCCAACTGTTTCAACTACATAACCCTACTATCTTTCTGTAAAAGATTATATCCACTCATCATATGAGTTTTCCCTTTGGCCTCTGTCAGACAAGGTTCATTGCCATTTTAGGTTAAACCTTCCTATCCAGCGAGAGCTCACCCATCATATTCGTGAACGCCAAGGTACCGTGAGAGAGTCTTCCATTTTTTGATAGGCCCCTCCCACATCGGTCTATGATGCCCCTATCAACTTATGAAACATTCCAACAGATCCAACAACAAATGGATAACCCAATTTTATGGTGCGTTTCCTCATTACTGAAGGATCCATCTTCATGCTAATGATGGAAGGCCTTTAGAGAGTTCAACATATGAATCTCCCTATCACATGCACTCATATTTCAGGAGGGAACAAAGTTATTATGCCCTAGTTTAATTTAGGTCAAACCAAAGTGGCTCCCACTAACTTTCATAAATCCAAATTTTGGTGGGCCCTAAATGGCTAGGGTTCCGCACGGATCCTCTTCAGGGAGGTGTGGGGCCCGCCACAAAGGGAGATCATCCAATGATCTTTAGGGACATCATGGCAATGATATGCATTCAGCCATAGTGTGCGAAAGAGCCACTATCATATCTGCATGGGCCAAGTACTTATGGCCCATGATCGTTGCACATTACACATCCATACATCACATGCAGGGATAGAATTGATCCAATCAATTAATATCTGTAAAGCCCATCACTAAAGCCCAATTTAATCCATAATATTACTGATTAATATTATCTAGGTATATGGGCTGAATAGCATTAAGCAGTTCGGCCCATATAGCTTTTCTGTAGTTAGTGGGCTTAAGCAGTTTTAACATTTAAAACTAGGCCTTACAGGTGTGGGCCGAATTAAGTCTTACAATTAAACATCAATCTCTTGACCCAAGAGTGGGAAATTAGGGCTGAGATCAGCCCCCGTCGAACCACAGATTCGGTCCAACCAGTTTGGTCCGATCTGGTTCGAATGGGTCTAGGGTTTGATTTTTAATTCAAGAATTGATATGAAAAAAATTAAATCACTGATTAAAGACAATCAAAAATCTGAACTAGGGTTGTTCATACATCTGCAACCTACAAAACAGATGTTAGATCGTAGATAGTGATTTCTCCATCTACGAAATCTCCTTCTCCTGCGCATCCAGCTTCGATCATGAAACAAAACAAAATAGAAAAACCCTAATTTTCTATTATTATTACATCAGATCGAATTCCTATACATTCAGTCTAGAAATTTAAAAAAAAATTAATTACAGACCAAAATTAATAGAACTGCAAAATCGCAGATTTCCTACGCCATTAAAGAATTCGATCTCCACCGTATGAACAACCCATAAATCAAGATAATTATAAAGAAAAATTCTAAATAAATATTAGATTTAAAAAGATTTAATTTCATATCATTCGCCCTTAATCTGGGAACCGATTTCCTAGAAAAACAATTATATGCACAAATCGGGTAGAGCGCCTTTTGCCCATTTGTGTAGGTTCAGATTTGATCTATTTCGGTTCAAGATTTGAACTTGGCTCTGATACCACTAAAGGGATGAGAGATCCATCATATGGATGGCCGAACCCTGCAGGTAGGTTGGGTGAAATTTCAAAAATTTCTCTCTCTCCCATGAGGGAATCACATTATCTGTTTTAGAAAATCTGCATTTTCAAGGATCAATCTTAAACCTAAATCGGACCAGATCTAAAACCAAAAGGTAGGAGAGGGATATACCTGATACGGAGTAGCAGTAACTCCCAACAAAAGTGTTCACACCGAAGGAAAGCTCCAAAAACTACTCCCACTAAAAATGACACAGCGTAGGGTGGAGCAGAATTAGCAGGTGGTTCTTCAAAAGAACCGAATCCTTCAGCAAGAATTCGATGGAGGGTATGTGAGCACGACTTCATATCAGTTTTTCACCAAAAACGGATATCAAGAACCCTTCTTGATCGCTCCTACAGTGGAGAACGAACTGGCAATGACGGTAGTAGGAGGAGGGCGCAAGAGTAGAAAATGACGCAGTCTTACTATTGATGTCTTCTCCCTTTCTGTGATCTGGGATCTGATTGAGTTGTTGTGTCTGGAGGTTCGCCCTCCTCCTCCTTTTATAACCTTAAAGAGAGCTCCTAATCTCATTAGGAGTTTCCTAATC